GAGAATTCCTTGTTACTTAGAGAGTTTCACGTTCCTTGGAATTTCTATTAGTATAGGTACTCTATTGATTTCAACCTATATATACACGAATTTCCTTTAATAAATCTTTGTTACTTATTAATTTAAGTATGAAATTCATAAATATGGAAGCAACATAAAAGATTAATATATGTAGCATGGTTCTAAAATTCTATTTAAGTTAAATGAAAATTATTAGGCTTTTAGTATAAGAACAAAGCTTCTTAAATTGCAGAAGAAAGAGATAATCATTTATTAAGGTATGATAATTGACTAACAATGGGTTCAGTTTCTCGGGAAGATTATTGGGAGTTCAGGGAGGGGGAAAAGTCGATTATCACTTAAGCAATAATCGATTGTGGGATTGTGTGGTTTAGGCCAAGAAAATTCAGAAAGGCAGGATAGTCGATTATCAATAGTTGATAATCGATTATTTTGGTTTTCGGATTCTGCCAAGGAAGTTCAGGGGTGTCGGATAGTCAATTATCAGTGAAGGATAATCGATTAGCAGGGTTACTTGAGGTTTCAATATGTAAGGAATATGGCTGGGGTGGGTAGGGAAGTTATGGGAAAACATTTTTTCGTAAATTTTGTCAATCACCATATGTTAAGGAAAGAATCTATTCTTGGAAATCATATCAAACCATTCATGGCTATGCATGAATCATTTTCTAACGCACGGCTCTATTAGGAGAGTTTCACATTTAATTATTTACTTACTTTTTGTATTTTAGGATGGACTTTATTATGGGGAGAATTCCTTGTTACTTAGAGAGTTTCACGTTCCTTGGAATTTCTATTAGTATAGGTACTCTATTGATTTCAACTTATATATAGACGAATTTCCTTTAATAAATCTTTGTTACTTATTAATTTAAGTATGAAATTCATAAATATGGAAGCAACATAAAAGATTAATATATGTAGCATGGTTCTAAAATTCTATTTAAGTTAAATGAAAATTATTAGGCTTTTAGTATAAGAACAAAGCTTCTTAAATTGCAGAAGAAAGAGATAATCATTTATAAAGGTATGATAATCGACTAACAATGGGTTCAGTTTCTCGGGAAGATTATTGGGAGTTCAGGGAGGGAGAAAAGTCGATTATCACTTAAGCAATAATCGATTGTGGGATTGTGTGGTTTAGGCCAAGAAAATTCAGAAAGGCAGGATAGTCGATTATCAATAGTTGATAATCGATTATTTTGGTTTTCGGATTCTGCCAAGGAAGTTCAGGGGTGTCGGATAGTCAATTATCAGTGAAGGATAATCGATTAACAGGGTTACTTGAGGTTTCAATATGGAAGGAATATGACTGGGGTGGGTAGGGAAGTTATGGGAAAATATTTTTTCATAAATTTTGTAAATCACCATATGTTAAGCAGAGAATCTATTCTTGGAAATCATATCATACCATTCATGGCTATGCATGAATCATTTTCTAACGCACGGCTCTAATAGGAGAGTTTCACATTTAATTATTTACTTACTTTTTTTATTTTAGGAAGGACTTTATTATGGTGAGAATTCCTTGTTACTTAGAGAGTTTCACGTTCCTTGGAATTTCTATTAGTATAGGTACTCTATTGATTTCAACCTATATATACACGAATTTCCTTTAATAAATCTTTGTTACTTATTAATTTAAGTATGAAATTCATAAATATGGAATCAACATAAAAGATTAATATATGTAGCATGGTTCTAAAATTCTATTTAAGTTAAATGAAAGTTATTAGGCTTTTAGTATAAGAACAAAGCTTCTTAAATTGCATAAGAAAGAGATAATCAATTATTAAGGTATGATAATCGACTAACAATGGGTTTAGTTTCTCGGGAAGATTATTGGGAGTTCAGGGAGGGGGAAAAGTCGATTATCACTTAAGCAATAATCGATTGTGGGATTGTGTGGTTTAGGCCAAGAAAATTCAGAAAGGCAGGATAGTCGATTATCAATAGTTGATAATCGATTATTTTGGTTTTCGGATTCTGCCAAGTAAGTTCAGGGGTGTCGGATAGTCGATTATCAGTGAAGGATAATCGATTAGCAGGGTTACTTGAGGTTTCAATATGTAAGGAATATGGCTGGGGTGGGTAGGGAAGTTATGGGAAAACATTTTTTC